TTTTGATGTTTCATTAGAAATTCTATAGGAGTATCAGAAGTTCTAGAGTCTGATATTTTTGTAAGAAATATTATTAGGACACTGTTAAAACATATCTGTCATCAAATTGATAGATTATAAAACCTCTAGTGATTAGAACGCAGTGCCAGTGTCTGTTTCTTCTACATTAGAGCTCAGTGCATGAATTCCGGTTCACATCAGTGGTTCTTCAGCCTACACTCATGTGGTGACTCCTGTATGTAAGTGATGTCAATGTTTTGGCCTTGACATCTTCCACATATGACTACAAAGGTGTGTATGGCACTTCGCTTACAGGGGGGAAAGCTCTAGTGAATCAGAAGGATGTGTTTTTATGGCCTTACACTCTAGGAAAAAAAAAATCACTTCCTTCCATACTTAATTAGTCCACATGTATTCTCATCTGATACTTAATGCCCAACAAAATGGAAGAGAAATTGTAACTGGGTGAAGCAATGACAAGTTCTTTCAATAACACCATCCTTCATTAGTACAACAATGTACTAATGATACTTTTAACAGGAAAAACAACTGAATTTAATTTAGAATTCATTTTATGAAAATAATTTTCTACCAAAGTCAAAATGCAATTTTACATGTAAGACATATTTTGCTATTTTCAGTTAAAGCATCATGAATATATATTAACAGTATAGAGAGGAGGACTTGGGCCACATTAAGAAATTAAAATTCTGTCCTTAACATGTGAGGAAATAAGGAAAGCATGGATACAGCACTTTTTGCCCATTCTTGAAGATCACTGTCACAATAGAAGCAAATGAGTCTTTGATTACTACCCAGTCCTTGGTTTCTCAATAATACTCTAATTGACACAAATTGAAATCTGATGAAACAGTTCTCTAACTCAACTAATTGTTCTCTTTTGTAAACCTTCAATATAATCTTGCAATAAACCTGTTAAAGAACTTTGATGAATAAAAAAGCATCCATACATCTATTCCATATCAATTCACATGTTTAGTATGTAGTGATGTTATTTCTCTAGAAATAACAATCAGTTTTCCTCTCATAAGTGTTGACTGGTATGATCCTAGCATTGTGGGAGATTGAATCCAGTCTGGGTACCAATTATTCATAAATAATTAGTGATGCTCTGTCTCATCATAAAAAGTATAAAAGGGCTGTGCCTATTCTCAATGTAAAAGGCCTCGGTTCAATCCACACTACCTGTAAAATGGAAAATATCTATATATCCATATCTATATCCATATCTATATCTATATCTATATCTATGTCTATGTCTATATCTATATATACCACAGGTCCTAAAGTGATAGAGGTTGAACAACCCTACATCCATTTGATAAGATGATTTCACTGCTTAAAGAAGTCATGTAAATTATAGGTATGAAGGCTAAATAGGCAATGGCTCAGTTAATAAAACCTATATTTCTGACCTACGAAAGGTTAGACAAGAGTATACAACAATGAAAAAAGAACATTGGGAAGAGTCTCTGGCAAAAAGCATTGAACCAGGGACTCAAAATGCATTTGGATTTCAAGCTTAATAAGGGTGTAATTTTGAAGGGCAAATTTCAGGCATCCAATGAAAATAGAGAATTTAAAGCCCTCTCAGTTGACATACATAAAAGTATCAAGTCATTATTCAGCATTTTTGTATGAGGAGATCCAAAAAGCTCCAAAAGATAATTCACTGTAATTACATTAGTGAAGATCCATTGAAAAAAGCACAAGTCAAAGGCACACTAGCTTCAGTTCTACGCTGTTTTTGTGAAATTTTTTCTACATCTGCAAAAATACTCTTTTGATCCCAAGCCCTCTTCTTTACATCTATTGTGACACTGCACAGTATTTGAGACCAAATACTTAAGGGAACTTCGTATAATTAAAACAGAAGCCAAGGCTATTTCCCTATAAATAAAAGGTACCAAGTAACTGACTAGATGGGAAGCCACAGGGTTTCTCAATGAGTCATCTTGCAACATGCTCCACTCTTCAATTCTCCAGGTATCCTCCAATTTTCATGGCACTAATCTATGCAGAGAAACTTTAGAGCTGTGAAATCTGAGCCATAGCTTTCTCATTCCATTCTATTTAGTTCCTTATTTCATTTATCTTCAGCTCATGTCCTCAGACTGATAGCTAGGGTGCACAAAATTTTAACAAATATATTCAAATTAATGAACATATACTCTGAAGAAGACAAAAACTAGACAACAAGACATATCCATGGAATGAACAAGTTTACTAAGCACCATGTCTGACTTAACCAAATAGCACTTTTCAGACAAGGACAATGAGGAGATCTGAAGAGAAAGAAGCTGCCATTTCACCAGCTGGAGTCAACTTACTGGAACATACAGATCAGTCCAGAGGCAGCTCTGGTTCTTTTGTTCAGATAGCAGGTGACAGGTGAAGATTCAGACTGGTATTTTCTCTCATGGTGGAGTCAACAGTGACTGCATAGCTCCTGGGCTCCCTGTGCTTTCATGGTTTTTGTTGTAAATGGGAATAAGAGTGGAACTGCTCAGTGTGTGCCTTAGTCACTGATGTCTCCATTGGCCTAATGGTCAGGGCACAGGATAGGCTTTCACTAGGTATGAAATCCTAGGTTCCTGTTCTCAGGAACAAATGAGAATTGATTGCCTGCTAAGATTAGTGTCTAACTTACAACAAGCAACAGGGAATAATCACTGATCTTTGAGCCAGAAGTTCTTGCTACATTTATCTGCTTTGCTTCAAACATCTTCCTATGCTTTCAACAAAAACTTGTTCTCCATCTTGCTGGGTATGAAGGATTAAGTTGCATTTGTCATTAATTCCCCCAGCAGGATATTCCTTTCCTACTCTCATTATTTTTTTGACTTTAACACACAATTTTGTTTTCTATTTGTCAACAGTCAGCACATTAAAAAAGAAACAACTGTTATTTTCTATGAAAAAGGAAGTGTGAATATCTCTTCTGTTTCATGATACAAAACATAATGAAATAGCCTGTTTACTTTTGTACACCTACATCATTGAGTTATTTGAATCATAATGCAAATTTTGAAAAGATCAATCTGATCCAAATCAATATGAACAACATTGTCAAACACGTATTTTCTTGGGGATGATATAACTCCCATGTGTGTCAAAATTCATTAGTCAGACTATGAACAGCCTGAGGTATTACAATGCACTATAGTCCTACAAATGCAATTCTTATACAGTTCCTTAGAACTTATTTTGGGTAGAGTTGCGTATAATTTTAAAGACACAGACATTGTTGCATGAAAGATACTCAAAGTACCTGCTGCAATTCTCTGGACCATAAATGAGTTTGGTTAGATTTTTCTCTCCATTTTACACTTGAGTTCTGCTTCCCTAACTATTGGGCAGCCACTGACTTTTTGTATTTGATTCTCAGTGCACTTCAGATTTGATCTTCCACTGAGGATCAAATCTGAAAATGTTCAGGGTTTAATATGTTCTGGGTTATGTGAAGGAAAGAGAAAATTATTCCATATTTACTTCTATGAACCATAATGGACACATCAAGAGTTACATTCAATTTAGAGAAGAAACTTTATTTACTATATCTAAATGAGAGTCTATCACCTAAGCAAGTCGAAGATGTATTGCCTCATTTAAACAAAATTAAAGTATTTTATACTCATATTGAAAGTTACATATATATATTATATTTAAGTATTTTAGCAATTTTGAAAGATACTTAAAAATTTCACTATCGTAATGTAACTTTTACATTTTGAAAAATCGGTATATAATGTGATTCACTGTAATTTATAGAAGGATATACGTGAACCAGAATAACTAATGTATAAGAACATCATATTATTATATAAGAAAAAATCAGAAAACATACATTGTAGTAAAATTATTATAGTAAAAGTAACTTACATTTTTGAAGTTGTTAATTATCCATAAGCAGATATCATTTTACTTTTCTTTTTATAGGCATGTTTGCAGTATATATTTACATGCTTGAGAAAGATGACACATTGACACATGTACATCATATATCTTAAATCTTTCCGTCTTTTTTTTTTTTTTTTTTTTGTTATGGAAGATGGGAATTCATGACCTTGCACTTACCAACCAGTGCCTGTGCTCCTGAGCGAAATCCCTAGCACTTGATTCGTTTTTCCATCACTTTCCTCTCCTTAACCTTCCCCACCCCTGGTCCCCTTACCTTTAAGTAACATCTATTTTCCTAGCTCCTACCTCTTTTATGTTTTTATCATCTCTTCTTGTCATGTAAGGGAAACTCTACAATATTCAGCTTGTGTGTTTGATTTGTTTTACGTGACATCAGGGTCTCAAGTTCATCCAATTTCCCAGAAACCTCTTCTGTCTAATTTTTCTTTATAGCAGAGTAGTGCCCTGTGGCATGTAAAGAGCACCCTGGCTTACTCATTCATCCAATGAACTTATAGAGTACTACCGCAATTTAGGTATCACGAATCAAGCAGTTATAGCTTTTAAATTTCACTTACAGCCTAAATTTCTGTTTGTTCAAGTATAATATTGTTCTTAAATAAAATAGTTTCATGGTTTTATTATATGTATTTCAAAGGTATGAATCCACTACATAAATATATTGTACACTATTCATATACATATACACATACACATACATATACGTATACATAAATATGGTACATAGAGATGATATCTTACAAGTCATATCCAAGTTAATGGACTTTAATGAGAATTTAATTTAGGAAAACAACCCCAATCTAACTGTATACATCATGTGCAGTGAAGGCAATGATGAAAACGAAGTGGGTGAGAAACTTTACTCAAAATCCCAGTACAGAAACCAAAAAGGAACAAGAAAACAGAAGTAGAAAATAAAGGAAGAGTATTCAGAAAGTGAAGCTGATGAGTTCCCTATTTAAATGGTCTGAACAGAGCAGGTCTTCGGAGAACCCACAGGCAAAGGTTCAGGATCACACATCCACCTCAGTTAGCCCAGCAGCATCACCAGGATCCTTATGGCCTGTCCATTGTCAAAATTGGTGGCCCTGCTGGTGCTGATCATCATGGCATCATGTTCTCTGGCCTGCACCCTGCCTCAGACCTACAGCCAGAGGAATGCCAGGGCCCTGCTTCTCCTGGAACAAATGAAGAGAATTTCCACTTTCTCCTGCCTGAAGCACAGACAGGACTTTGGATTGGCCCAGCTGGAGTTTGATAGCAAGCAGGTCCTGAAGGCTCAGGCCCTCTCTGTCCTCCATGAGATGACCAGGCAGACCTTCAACCTCTTCACATCAGAAGATTCATCTGTTACCTGGGACCACAGCCTGCTGGACACCTTCTGCACTGTCCTCCATCAACAACTGGGTGACCTGCAAGCCTGCCTGACCCAGGAGGTGGGGCTGGAAGAGCCTCTCCTGATGCATGAGGACTCCAGATTGACAGTGAGGAAATACTTCCACAGGATCACTGTGTACCTGAAGGAGAAGAGCTACAGCCTTTGTGCCTGGGAATTGGTCAGAGCACAAATCGTCAGATCCTTCTCTGCATCAGAAAAACTGGCAAGAAAGATGCAAGACTAAAGAATGAGTCTGAGTTTAACACGGAAATGGTTGTCATCAACCTTATCACATTTTCACAGTTCTACCATTTGAAGACTCGCATTTAGGTTAGCTCCCTAACATGCTTTATTTGTCCAAAGTTTTCAGGAGTACTAGGCAACACTGTGTTCATCTGTGACTAGAGATGTTCTTCCAAATTACCTGAGAAGGTTAAAAGCATCTATTTATTTATATTCTTTAAGATTTATTTATTCATTTATGATATTAATTATCTTTGCACACAAAACAAAATGTATGCTGTTAATTTAATAAAACATGTTATTTTCTTTATAATACTCAACTTGTCATTTTGCTTTTTCCATACATTGTAACATACGAAAACATCATCTGTTTATTTTTTAAATGATACTTCAGCTCTTACTGTGACAATTTATCAAATCTTGGAAGATAGTCCTAACTACTTCTTGCCATAGAACTCAAGGTTTAAGGAAACATTATCCTCTGGGCTGATATCTAATTCAGCTCACCCAACATGGGTGACAGTGAAGCCACTTTAGATATTTCAGAGACTGAGAGATGTTCCAGTACACACCAATGAGTCACAAGCCCAAGAAACATTATTCATGGAGGTGGTGCAACTAAGTAATCTGCTTCTTTGTATGTTGTCTAAGATAAGGTCTCAGTCTGCATTTCAGGCTTCCTTTGAACTCACTATGCAGCCCAGGCTGGCCTTATCTCATAGTCATCCTCTGCTTCAGATTGCTCAGCACACACATTCCTGTCTTAATGACCAAAAATAGTAATAACTGTTCAGATTAAAAATTTTCACTTACTTTTTATCATTCTATACATCTTGTTTATGTCACCTCAGTGTCCATTTTTGTACAGTGTACTTTTTTATACAGTACTGTGATAATGATATTTCTGCTCATGCTATGCAGTATAATACTGTGAATTTATATTATTCTACATTAGAGGATGGGATGCAACATTGATGTAATAAAAGGAAAATCATCGAGTTAAACTTTCCTATGGTGATTTTTAATATTGTAATATACATGTCACATACATATAATTTCCCATTTCATGATCAGTTCATTTTATGATCTAGTCACAGTAACAAAATGGTCCATAAGTGAAGTCTGTCTGCACTGGAGTACAGGTGTGCAATATCACGACCACTTCTAACTGATCTTAAATTCTGATCATGACGCAGGCTCCATTGAGAACAAACAGTGTAAAAACAATACATGAACACAAGGCCATGGACAGGGTCTGAGTATGTTCACAGTAATTGAGAAGGAGACTTTTGAAGAGGACTTATATCAGTAATATGCATATTGGAAGGTGGCAATTTCTAATAGGAAAGAACACTGAATTTTTTAATCTTAGTTCACTGAAGAGTGGACAATGGTGGATTCTTTCTTTCACTTGCTCTATATCCATTATTCACTGTTTATGCATATTTAATAATTAGGACCATTCCTGAAGACTAGCACTCACAAGAAGCACCTGTATAAGTAATGAATAAGTACTCTGCACCATGAATAGGGTAGTTAAAGCAAAATGGCATCACTATTATATCTCCTGTGATCTTTCATCATAACAATGATGACAATGGTCTTTAATAAATGAAACAAAAAGCTCATTTCTTGTTTTAGAAAGGAAACTCCAAGAAAGTCCACTAAAGGACCATCATGACCCCACTTGCTATGATTCCATAGGAAATAAGCAATTCCAGCTCTGAGGGGTTGAGGACGGGTCTCAATAGCCTGATAACCATTGATGCCCTGGAAAAAGCTATGCTGCTTTTGCACAGGCCTTGGCTCAGGTGAGCTGAAATTGATTTGGGCCTGGAGGAAAAGCTGACTGTCACTCTCTGGGTCATTTCTCATTTTGGACACAGGCAACTAAAGCAATAACTCAGTAAGGACTGGGTTTTTATTTCATGTTTGCTACTTGTGTGTCAAACAAAAATGACATCTTTAAAGCTTCAGCAACATAGAGGCCATATTGTTAGAAGATCATCTTTATTGTTAGTTCATGTTTGTGGTACATAATTAATATATTCATTGTGGATAGTTGGTACATGTGCATGACACACTTCACTTCTATTTCTATGTTTGCTTGCCTACACACCCAGCTTTTCCATTCATGATCAGTCTCCTTTCATTTTAAAAATATCTCTACCCATTTCTATCATCATCTTTTATTTGACTGTTTTACTGATCAACACCTTGGCTATCTCATATAGAAGAAAGCATGAAATAATTAAGCTTTGTCTCTGATTCTTTTCTCTTAACATTATGATTCAAAGTCCATCCATTTTCTGAGACATAATAGTGGTGCAAGCATGTAATCTCAGAAGTGGGGAAGCTAAATCAAGAACATTACCACAAGTTCAATGCCAGCATGAGCTACAGTGGACTCAAATTCAGCCTGAAGAACATAGAGACCCTGCCTGAACACCTCCTCCAGAAAAGAAAAAGTGCACACGTTTTCCTAAAATGAAATGAAATCAATCCATCTTTATAGAAAAGCAATATTCCATTGAGTTTAATGCCTACATCTTCATTATCCATTCCATTTAAGTATCGATGGACATATAGATCACTTCTAGAAATGAGCTGTTGTGAACTGTGCTACTGTAAGCATGGGTATTCTGGGTCCCCGGAATTTCTATTTTACATTTTTCGAGGAAACCATGAAATGGTTTCTGTGGTATACTACTTTACATTGGTAACAACTGTGTAGAAGTGTTCTCTTTTCCACACAGCCTAACCAGCATTTCATATTATTTGATTTCTTGAAGACAGTGATTCTATATGGAGTAAGATGGAATCTCAGAGCAGGTTTAATTTGCATTTGTTAGTGGCCAGTGATGATGACCATCTTGTAAATAAATGTAATGCATACTTGTGGTTCTTCTTCTGAGAGGAGTCCCATTCTACATTTTTTGATATTTGTCTTTTATTTTGAGAGTCTAATTTTTTAGCCCTTTATATATGCTTCACATTAATCCTCTTCGAGTTGTATTGGGCAAAACTGTTTATTCTACAAGTTATTTCATCATTGTGCTTGAATCTCATTTGCTCAGTTGCAAACAGAAAATTACACTGAGCCCCATGTGAGTGTTCTCAGGGACACAGAAGACAGCCAAAAAACTCACTTCTATCCATAAATAATTAGCCGAGCTATATTCTCATATAATCCTGATTTTCAAACTTTTTAAAAGGAATTGTATATTGGTGACTTGTGGGTGTGAGACTACCTTTCATTTGTGTACTAATGCTGTTTTTAAAAGGAAAAAGTAAGAAATTTATTTTGGTGCTCATTTTATGAAAAGAATTCTGTCCCAAAGTCTAACTCCACAATTTACATGCTGGACGTATTTCACTCTTTTCAGGTCCCACGGTCACAAATACAGTGAGGACAGAGAGAAGGCCATGGAGTACAATATAAAATTAAAGTTCTGTCCTTAACGCAACAAGAAATGAAAAAGAATTGATCATGTTACTTCCAGCAGAACCAGGAGTAACACTGATATAAAACAGAAGAATGAATCTTTCATTACTAAAGAGGTCCTTTTGTTTATATACTCTTATTCTAGTACTCTGAAGGGGTGAGGCAAGAGAACTGGGCAAGCAAGTCCAGCACAGAAAACTTAGCAATTTAGCAAGACCCGCTCTCTAAACAAAAGCAAATTGAGGGCTGAAGATGTAGCCTAGTGAAAAGACCACACATTATTTCTCCACTACAATCAAACAAAGTAAATATTGATTGACCTCCTGAGATGACAGGGAATCAACCAATATATACCTATTGAGTGACATAATTCCTCCATTTAGAGGTATCATATAAATTCTGGAGAGGTATTCTAAAAGGGAAATTGGCCACTTTTTAAAGGCCATGTATGAAGAAGAATGAGGAATTTTTCAGGCAAACCATTGGACCAGCACTTCACAATTCATTGGTGTTTCAGTGTGAATGGGTACACTAAGTATTATATGTCAAATTTTGAAATTCAAATGGAAATGGAGCCTACAATCCCATATGAATGGATACACACAAAGCAATGAAATGGTTTTTCACCATTTCTGTGCATTTAATGAGAATCCATGCCTTCAAAGGATGATCCTGAAGCTATCATTTTCAGAAAGAACACACAAAGGCTCCATTTCAATATTCTTTTTGGCAAAACTATCTTCCACCACAACAAAAATACTGTTTGTTCCAATCCCTCTTCTCTGCCTCTGTCATGATACTGCCCAGTATTTGAAACCAATGCTAAATATATATCAGTATAATCAGTACAGCAGTTAAATGGTTACCTACAAATAAAGGGCACTGAGAAGCTGAGTAGGCAGCTGCCCAGAATGTTGGTCTTCAGAGTCACTCTCATGTAATGTGCTGGAATCACTTATTTCTCAAGCAACACTTCCATTTCCTTACCACTCATCCATTCAGTGAGGCTTGCCAGATGTTTGCGCTCTGAACCTCAGTTCCTTGATTTCATTCACATTTAGTTCATGTTTTAGAGTTTTATTTATTTATTTTTTTGGCACTGGGGATCAAACACAGACCTCACACTTGCCAGTGAATTGCTTACACTGCTGAATTAATTCCCCAGAACCTAGTTCATATCTTAAGACATGAAACCAGAGGGCACACAGTGTTTAAAAAATATATTCAATATTAGGAAGATACACTCTGAATAAAACAAACTAGGTAAGAATTCGTATGCATATATTGGACAAGATATGAGATAATCTGTCTAAATTAAGCAAATGAACTTTGAGTTAATGAGAGTCAAGAGAGCTGAAGAGAAAATATCTGGTATTCCACAGGCAGGAAGATACTTACTAGAAAATACAGATCAGTCTAAAGGCAGCTCTGATACTCCTGGCCAAAAATATCCCTAGAGAACAGATAAGAATTAGGGACTCAGAGTGGCATTTTTTTCTCACAATGGAGTTGAAAGTGGCTCCACAGTTCATGAGTTACCCATGCTTTCATGTTTCCTGTTGGAAATGGGAATAAGAGGGGGATCTCTTGCTTTCTTTTGTCTTCACTGATGTTTCTACCTGCGTAAACAATCTGGGCACAAGGCAGGTTTTTCCCATATATGAAAAATGAGAGCAGCATT